AACGAAACGTAGCAACATCTAATCTGCAGATTAGATGTTGCTACGTTTCGTTGAGAGATTTCCACTTTGCAGTCAAGGAGTACATGCCGAATATTGGTTGTACCGGGTCACATTTGTAGACCTTCACACGACACAAAGACTTACGAGGATCATGCCAGCGGGATCAGGATATTTAAATTGTTCCTCAGTTCACGAAGATATAATTGGTTCTTCGTTTTCCGGAGAAATTTCTGGAGTTGGGATTCCATGAGTTCACCTTTTATTTTATTTCTGCGCTTTTGGTTTGAACTGTCGCAAAAGCAATCCACCTCTGACAGTTCTAGACCTTATATCCTCTTCTCATGATTGAATTTTGTGGATGTTTTCCACTTGACCACAATACATGTTGCCCACTTTAGTGCCCCAACCCACACCGTCTGATGGTGACGACGACTACGCACTCCCCCCGATCACACTAAACTGGATCAAGCAATATTTAATCATGAACATAGACGACTCGTCCTGCGATTACTTGCAAGTTGTACAGGCCTGATGTTTAATAAAGTCAGAGCAAAAAAACTGGCAAATGGCCGAGTGGACTGGAGCGCCGTCAGTACCTATGAACACCGTTTCCAATGACCCAAGACTCCTGTTCGCCACCATCAGGGGACCAAAAACTTCGTATTTTTTGCTTTATACAGTTTTTACTTCGTGTTTGTCATCAGACGTTTCTTTAAAATAAACGCACAGTGAGAAAAAGTACGTACAAAGCAGCATGCTAGTTCGGGTCAGTTAATACAGGGACAGGGGGAGGTTTGTCAAGTTCGCCAATTAAAGATAGCGGTGCCGATACTCTCCGTTCGCAATCTGCAGTGAGTCCACTGCCTTGGTTTTCTTCTTGAGACTTTTTACCAGTTGTCAAACTTGGTGCGCTTGCGGGTCTGGAAAGCACGACGGCGCCCTGGTCAAATTTTGTCTTCCGTAATAGGACAGTCTGTTCCTGGATGGCTAGCAATTTACCGCTCTCATTTGTCTCCTCGGGCGCTTCTGTTACTTCTGCTGACTGCAAAGTCTCTTCAGAGGCTGAGGGTTGTTCTGAAGGAACGGTGATTTCTTGACGATCAGTGGCGG